ACATAAAATGTTTCACTAATGCACTTAATTCATGAAATAGGAGTAAAAACATACATTTCATTGTCAAAAGTGGAAAATAATTAGCATCTCTTGAAAGCAAAATAACATTTTTAATAAAACAGAGCAGTGAATAAAGAAGTGATGCTGGTGGTCTATTCTGCTAAGGCAACCCCTTACAAATGAAGTAATAAGCAGAAGGAAAGTGAGTGAGGGATGCTTGACATGTTATAGATCATTTAAAAATAAAAAGAACTATTGCTATATAATCTGTCAGGCTTCTGAATATTAATTACATTGTCTGCATTCACTCAAACTGAATTGCTGAAGTGAAAATGCGGATGATACATGAGCGCATGGCTTTGAATTGCTATTGATGCCAGGCAACCAACAGAATATGATACATCATATCTCATAAACAGTACAAGAGAGTAATGTTCCCTCTATCTATCTATCTATCTATCTATCTATCTATCTATCTATCTATCTATCTATATAGAGGGGGGGGGGAGACTTTTCCTGCGCATATGAATAAATGCACTTAGAACTGTGAGGGAACTCTCAGGCACTCAGGGTATGTCAAACCGTAATTTGTTTTATAGGGATGGGATTAACCGGTTTAAAAACAAAATAACCAACATCAGTTATAGGCTGTGAATTTCAGTTTCGGTTTCCTATTGAGAATTATGCCTAAATTAAAATCTAATCCTAAAATAGCATATAAAACCATGACATGGTTAAGTCTGCAGTACTGAAAGTTGCAGTCTCTCTCATTACTTTATTAAATAAATACAAACATTCTGAACTACCTCGTCTCTGTTTTCACATTTAAAGTATGCCGAATGATAAATGAAAATAAAATTATTTTCCATAATGCGCACCCAAGGATATTACTTCACGTGTAGGCTATTATTTCTGCAAAAGTGCATTAAAACTCAAGCAATAGGCTGCAACATTTCAGAGAATGAATTGGGAACACACGGAAGCTTAAACTTTCCAATAAAGACGTGCACACTCGCTTTGTTTTGCTCAGGGAAATAAGCCTTCTCTGATGATCGTCACTTTCATATTGTTTTTATATTAATTCTAAGATTTTAGAGCAACTGATGGTCATAAATGTTTGGAAGACCTAATTCTGTAACTGACTGCATATGCTAAAAAAATAAAAAAAATAAAAAAAATAATATTAAATAATATTGCCCCAAAAAAGTAACTGAGGAAAATGTGATCTATAAATGAAATAAAAAAAAAAATAATAATAATTAAGCTGTCATTTATGCGTTTTCATAAAGTCAAAAAGGTAAACGATTAATGTGGTCAGTATAAAATGTCTAAAATATATATATTTTTTTTTTCATTTTGCCAATCAAACTGCACATTTCGGTTGAACGACCCTCTTATGTTTAGCAGTAACAAAAGATTTGATGTTGTTCAATGGGGAAAGTGTAACTGAATCGATGTTACCAGTAAACTGGACTATACTATAACTGCAGATGAGGTCTCTTACATTAGCTAAACCAGTACATTGGCTACAGAAAGACAGAATTTTACTTTTGAATGACACTCAGGAAATTCCACAGCACACTGAAAATATTAGGATTGCAAGCTGTGATTTAAGACTATTAAATTAAATGGTTTACTTGCTGCTTTAGGTTAACTGCTTTCTGAGTTGATGTTTAAGTTTCTACAATTATTAAGGAGTAAGCTATTGCTTATCAAGTAGAAAGCTTTCCACTAACTAATTCAGTTTGTTATTTTTTTAACAATGAATTAATTTGTTCTTTGTTGATGTTATGAATATACATTTATATTATGCAAATTTATATAAATGTTCTAGCAATACAGTAAAGTTCTAATAAAATCCCATTTTCTTGGTTCCAACGAAAACCTCGCTGATCAATAAGTTTATTTGAGATGTCAGATGTCTCGCCTTAAAAGCAAACAACAGAAAACAGTCAATCTTCATTGAAGCATATCTGTAGTAAATATACTGGCGACTGGTTAAGTTCTCTGTTATAGCAATGCGTAGGCAGAAGTCAGGCTTACACTGCTTTAAGTCAAATGGACACTGCATGACGTCATTTGAAAAGGGCCTATTGAAGATAAATGTACAACTCACACAGATCAAACTGTTTTCATATACTAAATATTTAGTTACTAAACCAACATTTATTTTTAAAATTTAGGTTTGTAATTTAGTGGTTTGGTGACTTTGATGGTTATTTCATTCAAAGGTGAAAACGAATTTAATTAATTGACTAATTATAATTGTCAAAGTTGTCAATTGTAGATTTTTTTATTAAATTTACTAGAACTTCATTCATGGTAAGCGGTTTTGACAAAATAAAAAAAATAAAAAACTATAGAAATTAAGATTAATTGAATTTTATTCTAAACTTGTATCAGTTTCGTTCTTCTGTTAAAACAATAAATAAATAAATAAAAGAAATACTGAAAAATATTGGAAAAAAGCAGCAACTGACGTCCATACATTTAACAAACAAGTACTAATGAAAATCAATGTTTGTCTTTCCATCATTCTTCAGAATAACTTTCTTTTTTGTTCACCAAAAAAAAAAAAAAAAAAAAAAAAAAAAAAAAAAAAAAAAAAATATATATATATATATATATATATACACAATCAGGTTTGGAACAAGTGGAGGATGAGTAAATAATGACAGATTATCAAGTTATCAAGTTATAGTAGAACTATCCCTTTAAGTACTGTGAGAACATTTTTATACACTTCATGGAATTATCAAGAAATTCTGTAAGAGGAAGTCAGTCCAAGAAAATTACAGAGACATGAAATGAACTGTCTTAACTTAAGGCCGTAACTAAATTCTTTAATGCAAAAAGCACACAACACATCTTAACAAGTGTGCAGCAATGCCCTGTCTTTTACCCTGCACACAAATTACACACATTCTCTACAGAAAACTGAAACAGCCCTTCTGACAATCTATACTGCTTCAAAGCTTACAGTAAGATAACAAATGCTTTGTGCAATCAGTAAGATGACTGAGGCATTTGGCAAGAAAAGACTCCCTAAGATTGTTACAGGAAGAAACACGCCATTCTCCAATCTGAAAATGATAATCGTAAAAAAAAAGATTTCAAATAAAGATTTACGGTTAAAAAGAAAAAAAAAAAAGGTAGCGGTGGTTGCTACATTTTTTTTTATAACAGGATGCAACTCAAACATTTTTCAGTAAAACTAAAAGTAACCTACCATATTCTATTAATTAATACAATGTTAAGACACCAATTTTTTGAATTGACAACACTTTTGTAATACAGACAAAAACACCAGCAAAAGCAGTTAGTGATGAGTACAACAATAAACCAAAGCTCGGCTCATCTCAGAGAGACATACTAATATGTAGGTGCTCAATGTCGTTCACACCACTAAACATTATCATGGTAACAAACGACACTAATGTAATAAAATAATCGATCAACATTAGATATAACATAAAATTCTAATGTACATCACTATTAAAAAAAAAAGAAAAAAAAACATACTAGTGCAACAAATAAAAAAAAATATGACCTCTACCACCTCTTTTCCTATCTCTTGGCCCTTAAAACAGAGTATGAAGGGAAAGGGCATCAATATATTTACCCCCAAGAAATGGGACATCACTACAACACCTGCACACGTTATCATATGTCATAGCGATCTCTTGCTTTATATAAAATCAGACGATCGCGACTGCTGTAGCATTTCCAGTTGTGTTATTTTTTGTGTTTATTTTCAGGAAATTATTGAAGGCAACAATATCATGCGACAACAAGCTCATAACTGTATTGTGCATATTCATCTAAATAGCCATATTCAATTAAACACATGAAAATAACATTAACATTACACCAGACAATGTAAAAAGGACATTTCCAACCCCTAGACTTTTCTGACAGGGAATTCGAGTGTCATCGAGTAACAGATGTGAAAGTATGTTGTGAGACTACATCCTGCTATACCAGGAGTTATTACTATGGATTATAGTTAATGAAATTTGGCTGTTTTTATTTTGCTTATTTTTAAGTCATGACAGTAAAACACATGAATGTATTAAAACATATACTTCCTTATTGTAAAAATTCAGCATAATGACCAAATACTAATTTGTGCATCTCCTTACTCGCATGTGCAGCCATGCTGTCGTTGTAGAAGGTGTATTCAGGGAAATTTTTCTTACCCCTTGGTTTCGAGTGTGGTCCTGATAAATCTATCCAACCCTTCCCCTCAGCCCAACCCCTTGTTTTGCGTAATAATGTGAAGGGGTAGGGGTAAGGATTGGACTATATTTGAAATGAGATGAATCAACACAATTCCTAAGTTTTTTTGAGATAACCTAATTCTTTTTAAAAAAATTCTGTAGATTAAACATAAATAATCAAGTTGACTTAATCAGAATAGGGACAACATGAAGGAATTTGAAGCATTTTTCTCAGTGCAAGTAATTTTTTGAAGATTTACTATAAAAAGAGACACATTTTTAAAGGTTTTTATCCTTTTCACAGCAAAGAAATTCTAAAAAAAAAAAAAAAAAAAAGAAAGAAAAAAATAAATAAAATATATATAACCCTCGTCCTAAATCACCATCCCATTGGCACTTGAATACAGTGGAATGAGGTCAAGCATCTATTTTGAAAGCTCGTTCAATTGATTGCCAAGATTTAAATAGTTTATAAATATTTAATTCTTAAGCCTTGACTATTTTCATTTCAGTCCACTGCTTGTACTCATTCAGACCATTTCAACATACAACTAACCTTCAGACTTCAGCAAACAATAAGCAAAAAAAAGCAACAAAAAAAAAGCATAACTGCTGCTTACATATTCACTTTAAAACCCCTTCAAAAGATTTCACATACTACTTCCTTAAATCTTACTGTAGATTTCATTTGTTTGAGAGGAAGGTTGATCTTCAGCCATTTTAACAAACATTTTTCAATTTCACACAGTATTAGCACAACCAAATTTCAACAAAACTCACCTCCTTTTTCAAGTTCTTCATCCCTCCTCTCTTTCTCTAGCTGCTCTTCTTCCTCCGCTTCAGTTGTACATCGGTAGCCTTTTCTCTTCAGGATGTGGCAGATGAGAACTCCCAGAAGCCCCATTAGGAAGAAGAAGGGCACCAGAATGAAGGCAATATTCTCTGGGTGCCCATCACCTGAGTGCCCATTTCCACCTGAAATAAGAAGACATGAATCAGTACAAAGGTTCTATATAACTCAAACTGATAAGCAGTCAATCATAGTCGAGGAAAGATAAGTTAATGGAATAGGTTCAACTAAACACCACATTTTTGCTCTAATAGATAGTTAAAGGAAATTTTAGCTGAACCTATGTCCTTATATAAAATATAGGTTTACAGAGTCAGGAAAAGCATGTTAAATTAATATCCACAGGTCTTGACAATACACTGATGTTTTATGTAGTGAAATGATTAGTCTATGCAAAAAACGGAACTATTTACAACAGCAGTGAGAATCTATACTAGGGCTGCACGATAAATCAAAAATGAAATCATCATTTATCAAAGTGTGAGATTTTCATGCACATTTCTTCATGGAAGCACGGTTCTGTGATCAGTAGTAAATATCATACATTAAGCACTCATACGGAAACTCCAAATCTGTCCCATAGAACAAACCCAGGTTGTGCCTAGTGGTTACTAAATGTAAATGCAGTTATGAGCAATGATTGATGCCACAATATTTGATCATTAAATTAATAATCCAGAATACAAACATTAAGCGTAAAACAAAAGGAAGTGTTTTAACTTCGGATAAAAAAAAAAAAAAAAAAGGATTCAATATTCTGCTTATTTACAGTGTTTCGTCAGGAATGAGTTGATTTTACTTAGCTGATATAGAGATGATCAGCTCATTAGAAGAGCTTTATGCACAGTGTACATTGTTCCCTAGTGCCTTCCCCTTCGGTGCTCTCTACCGGAGCACAAGAACCTCTTATTTCGCTTCAGAAATTTGCCCCTTTCTTATTTGCCGATTTACACAACAGCACTGCACATAGCGTCTTACAAAGGAAAAGTGTGACATCATATACCTCCGAAACTAAACAATAAAAATTAACATATCACACTCTAAAATGCTATTTAAACAAAGCATGCTCTCTTTTAAACTGAAATCATGGTGGAATATCCTGTAGAATACAATTTGCAGGGTGCGCAAGGACCAGGATTGAGAAACACTAATCTAACTGGAGGAAATTTGTACCATGAACACCAAAACCATGAGTGGCCATGGAAACAAGTGCCACTCCATTAAAAGCAGCAGACCAAACCCCACCTCTTCTGTTTATTGTGGGGTTCAGGCCTGGGGCCCGTTTCAGTAAGGAGGTTCAACCTACTCAGGATTTAAACTTGAACTCTGAGTTGATTTACAGAGAGATTGAAAACTCAGAGTTTTGGGTTTCAGAACAGCAGATCTGAGATTGGTCAATCAGCTTTGAGTAGACCAACTCAGAGTTAAGCGTGCACACCGCAACTATAAAATAACATTATCAATGGAGCGCAGATACTACGAGTGACCATGACAACATCTGAAAAAGAGATCAGCATTTCTTTCTCCAGCTGAACTTGATGTGCTCATGCAAAGTTATAGCAAATATGAGCATATATTTAAAAAAGCAACACCACCGCATCAGTGAAACAGATACAGTTAGTAAGGGAAAACATAGCTGCTCAAGTTAATGCACAAGTTTACATTTAAAGTATTTAAATATTTAAGTATAATAAATAATGTAATGTGTGACATTTATTTACTTTTCACTTGAAAAGTGGGGAATTGGCCGTAATTTAGGTTATTTTAGATGTAATTGTATTAAACTATATAAATTAGGTGTCTGCATAGTTACTGCAACAAATCTAACAAAACAAGACTGCATATAACCTAGCTTAATGTTCAGTGGAAATGTTTAATCCAAGGTTCCCACTTTTGTTCATTAGTTAAAGATAACATTTCAAAAGTTATGGGTGTCAATCAACTGTTTTTTTTTATGCGCATATCCAAATTGCGCATAAAAAACGGTGGGTGGAAATGTAAGGCTAAAGTGAGAAATACCGCTTCGTCTTTGCAAAAGGGGAAGAGACCGAGCAGGGGTCACCAATCTTTGTCCTGGAGGGCCGGTGTCCCTGCAGGGTTTAGCTCCAACTTGCTTCAACACACCTGCCTGGACGTTTCAGGTATAGCTTGTAAGACCTTAATTAGCTGGTTCAGGTGTGTTTTATTGAGGCTAGAGCTAAAATCTGCAGAACACTGGCCCTCCAGGAACAAGTTTGGTGATCACTGGTTTAGAGAATAAAAACTGCTCCTCCTGACCAGGTTAGGTTCACAGATTAAGTCACCACAGTAACTATACCAGGAGTAACTTTAGTTACTGACACAGTAACTAAAGTTATCTCTCTTTCAGAAACAGAGTTTCTCTCATTTCAGGGTTTTCACCTAACCTCCTTTCTGAAATAGGACCCTGGTGCTTATGGAACCCCTGTTGCTAGTTGTAGAATTATACTGGGCGGCGCAGTGACTCAGGGTGCTTTCACACCTACACTTTTGTTTCGGAACGTATCTCGTTTGCCCAGTTAGCGCGGTTCGATTGGCATATGTGAACAGGGTAATCGCGCTCTGTTCCGCGCCAAAGTAATCGCTCCGAGATCGCTTGAATGAGGTGGTCTCGGCTCGATTGAAACGAACCCTGGAGCGGTTCGATTGCAGTGAGAAAGCGATCCGATCCGAGCGCGGTTATATCACAGTGTTTTATGCATACGTAATAGGCTTACGGCTATATGAAGAGAGAGTTATGAGTATGGCGGGAAGTTTCGCGAGTCTCCGGATGCCCGCAAACGAGTGATGATCTCCCGGTAATCTTGCCTCTCCCTCCCTCAAATAGGCATCGTCGCGCACCCTTCTCACCCCTCCCCACCGCGTCTCTCCTCAGACATGTCGCGTGCGCGCACCCTGTCAATCACCACCAAACCACCACCTCTCCTGACAGCTGAGCGGGACGCTGCAAAATAAATCCTGACACTGACCAATGTGAGGAGAGTTTACTCGCACGTGACTTGTTTTAGCTCTTTTGGTCCGTTTAGAAACTTTGCAGTGTGAAAGCGAACCGCTCCAAGAGCAAAGAGCAACAATGTAACAATTGTAATCTCTGTTTCGGAACAACTGAATCGATTCACAGGTGTGAAAGCACCCTCAGAGTAGCGCTGTCGTTTCACAGAAAGAAGATCGCTGGTTCAAGCCTCAGCTGGGTCAGTTGGCATTTCTGTGTAGAGTTTACATGTTCTCCATTACACTTTGTTCATTTTGTACTTTTGTTCCTTTGTTTATTGGTCTTAGAGATAACCCTGCCGTAAAAAGTGTCACACACATTCTGAAAAAAATAAAACCAAAGTTTTGGTTTATGTCAGGGTATATCAGGGTATTGGTATATAAAATTTTGGAATGATACCCAGCCCTAGTTCTCCCTGTGTTGGCGTGGGCTTCCTCTGAGTGTTCCGGTTTCTTCTGTGTTAATGACTGTGTATGGGTGTTTCCCAGAGATGGGTTGTGGCTGGAGGAGCATTCGTTGCATAAAATATATGCTGGATAATTTGGCAGTTCATTCCACTGTGGCGACCCTTGATTAATAAAGGGAATTCGCCAAAAAAAATTATGAATGATCAAATGAATGATTGAATGAATTAATTAACTAATTAATCAACCAATCAATCAATCAACCAATCAATTAATTATACTATTTGCAAGGCGGGTCTGTAGCAAAGGGCAAATGCTAGGAGCTCCGCCAATACTTATATTTTTATTGTCTATACTAAATGTCAACACTGTGAATATCAAATATTGCATAAAATAATTGTCCTACAAAAACATAACTCTGATCTCTCTCTAGACTCACCCAGTTCGACATGATCAATCCTCACCTATGCATTTACACATACAGTAACCTAATTGTTATAGACACATAATAAACAACCACCATACTAAAACACTGAAGCACTCTGGTGACCAGGTAAGAAAAAGAAGAGAAGACAGGACAAAGTCAGAGGTCATATTATATAGCCTAATAAATGAATAAATGAAATGACTGGAAATGAATTGAAATTGTCCTGGTCATGATAATAATTTAAATCTGTCAAAATTTGACAATTCATATTTGAATTAAGCTAATTTTGTAATGTTTGTAAGTGGAGGTACTAAAATGGCAACATGTTCAAGAAAAAATTATAACTAATGTTTCTTCTCCAATTTGTGGTGATCACATTGGAAAACAAAACACTTCAAATTTATTTTGGAGATTAATCGGTGGCCTACTGTAAGCTAGAGAAGTGTTCAAAATTTGAGTATCTACCAGTTATAATTCTTGCCGTTTTTATTTAAATTATAATGTGACTTTTTACAGTTTCAGTGTTTACCATTTAAATAAAGTGGATTATTAATAACATAAAAAAATAATAAATACATGCATTGTTCATTGTTAATATTACTAGTTAATAACTTTAATAATGTTAACAAAATAGTACTGTATAAATGTTTGATCAAAAAATATTGCTGGAACGGCCTAAAAAAGCAAGGATCATCAGGTTCAATCTTGCTTAAGCAGCAAATTTGCCAGAGCGGACCCTGATTATTTGTTAGATACTAATTATAACATATAATGTTCAGAGCAAAAGTTGCTATGACTACTTGCATACCCTGAACTCAACGGTTATCAACTTACATAAGCTTAATGTTTCCAAGATAAGTCACATAACCTGTTCTTTGGAATACTATCTTGGGAAATGTAGTTTGTTTAACACCACTAATGAACAGTTTTTTTTTTTTTTTTTTAATGCATTGCACATGCAGATTAATAGCTTTAACAAAATGACACTACAACTAAAAGGCATTCTGCTATTAAGGAAACAAATGGTTTTTTTACTTTCAGAACATATCTACACCACTTCTAAAAGGAAATCTATTCAACCTGATATGCCCTAACAAGAAAGACGACAGTGTTGTTGGAATGTTTCAGCTAAACCCCAGCATAACATCAACATGTTGATTAAACCGCTGTTGTTAACAGTCTAGACATACAATTGTGCTTCTGCTAGATTAAAACCTATATTTGATTGAGTTACCATACTCTGAGACTTTATAAGAGAGCTAACAGCACAGCTTATTCAATAAG